TCTTATTTTAGTTAAAGATAACCATAGATTTTGCAATACAGCATAATAAAAACAAAAATTTATATTTAAGGTATTTTTAAAGTATTTATTAAAATCCTAATTTTTTTTACTGATCAAGTCTTTTACTTATTAATAAAAATAGAAAAACATTTTTGCACAACATTTATTGTTAGTATAGCACTTGTAAAAAAGGTAGAAGTTCTACCCTAGGGTAGAATATGTGATATGCACATAGTAAGGTAAAATCTTCTACCTTCTAAGGAAAAAAATTGTATCTTTAAAGGTAAAATTTTTTTTCTTTGTAAGGTAGAAAATTAAACAACAAATCATTATTTTTAATATAATTTAAGTAATAATTAAGATATAATTTTCTCTCTGAGGTAGGTAAACATGCTGTGTTAAGGGTATAACACATATCTTTAAAGATACCAACATCTAATTTAGCTTTGAAACCTTTCAAAATGATAAAATTGTACCTGATTTTTTCTTGTTTCCAGAAAAGATACCAACATAGTGTAAAGAGTGATATATAAATTATCGACTAATCCAGCTAAGTAAACTATATATAGAATATAGAGTTTATTAAGCTCTATTAGCTAACATTATAAATAAATATACTCTGAATATAATACAAAGCATTTATACCCATATACATCCATCAAGTTATACAATCGATGAAATGTTTGCATCTATAACATATTTTCATATAGTATATAACTTAAATGCTTAAATGGTATAAGCTCTATGGTTGAATAAGCATATTTATACCACTACAAACTCTGTCACATAACTACATTTATCAACAGGTGATGTCTTTATTTTATGCTATATTCATCATTTTTATTCGGAATAAAAAGTATATATGCAATCCAAAATATTAACTTGAAACTGAATAATTAAAAAAATCACAATTTGTTTATGCGATTTCAATATTTATCCCAGAATTTATATAATTTATCTGTAGCGAAATACAATGTTTACAATTTGATGCACTCTAAAGTAGGCCGAGCACTAGTATAGAGAGGAACTTAAGTGTTTTAAGAAAACGGCCTGCGTTTCCAGACTAGTTAAATACTATGACTATGCTGGAACTAACCAATTTGTTAATTTTGGTCGCCCGCCGACGTTTTGAGTCACCTGTTACCATTTTTTTTTTTAAATTTCCACTTAGCGAAGTTCTCGCATGTTTTAGTCATTTTTTGTTATATGGCAAAATGTACACTAGAAACAATATGCACAAATAAAAGTAATATTGAAAACTATTGATAAAATTCACTTTTCTACTTTCAAAAAAAAATCACATGCCATCATATTTTTAAACTTTATTTGAGCGCTTATTTTATAAAAAAATAGATGTTCGATTACAACAAAAAACTCTTGACAAATATAAAAAACAATTTACAAATAATTTAAAACCCTTTGCTTTTAATGTGTTGTAATTATTACAATCTTATTTGTTACAAGAATAACTATTTATATTTTGAAAGGTAAAGATTCAAAATTATTGTATATCGTCATCAATTGTTACAGCTCTATCACTGTCATCATCACTACTAGTGAAAATCTGTATTTTCTTTGACTTTTTAACTGACACAACTGGAGTTTTGTTGTCCATGTAAAGCTTTTTTGATTGATGCTAGTTTTATTTTTTCGTGATGGCTTTAAAAGCCAGTGTTTAATGGCTTTTGTTGGATCTTATAATTCCATTTCTGGGCCATCAATCTTGATGCGCAATCGCATTGTTAATAACTTGTTACTGACTCGTGTTCTTTGAATTGATTTAATGTTTTTTATTGCGCTAAAGCCTTTTTCCGCGTCTGCCGAACTTAAGCTATGGCAAAATAAAAAATCAATCAGAAAAAAGATTAGCGAATCTATCTGGTTTGATATTAGTTGCTATTTGTGACCAAGATAGTAGTGGAAATGATTTTGAACTTGCATTTGTCCAAGTTGCCATTATATTCTTCAATATTATCCACTCTGATAAAATATTTCCAACATCTACTCGTTTATATTCTAGTCGTTGACGCACCATATCGTCGTCAATAAGGGCTTTTATGTTATTGTCTAGCATGTTTTTATGTAATTTTTTGTTGTTTTCAGCAGTGAATAAGTCGCTTTCCGTCCATTCAACTGTGTTAACAACTCGTCCGCCTCCGAAAAGACATCTGATCATTTGAACATCTTTTAAAAATGCACTTTTTCATGGATGTAGCAATAAAAACTGGATCTTCATATTTTATCACTTCATGCTAATTTACAATCCCATATATCGAGCGCTTCATCCAGTAAAAACCAGAGTCTGGATTTTCTTTGAATCTTTCTAAATTGCAAATGGCATGCTCGAGCAAAGACTTAACTTGATACATTGAAACATTTTTTTTTTTTGTGTTAACCTTTAAATAAAAACATAAACAATATTATTATTGGTATATTCTTAAATTTCTAAGTAAACAAATATATTATTTGTTACATTAACGTTTTAATTTAAAAAGCAATAGTGTATTTTTATTAAATACTATTTAATTAAGTTATATATGTAATTAAATATTTGAATTTAGTAGTTAATTCAATATATAATTTACAGCAACAAATTATGTATTTTATCAATATACAAATAATAATAATTTTTTATATTTTATTTTGAAAAATTAAATTTTAATCAATAAACGTTTAGGAAATATTAATTTAGAAAAAGTTTCTAATTCTGAAAAAACTATAAGTATGAGAGCAACAAAATATAATTATAAAATTCGAATGAATTTGTTCTTTCAAGAAAATTTTAATAGACTTCTAATTAAATAGTTCAAAAAAGAGCGCGACAAAATCTATTTATAACAAAGTTTTTATCTTTTGTAAACATTTTACTTTGATTATTTAATGTTAATTATTGCAAAGTTTATACTTCTAAAAGGTTTAATAACAATAATATTAGTATATATTACAATAAACTCAGATATTACCTAATTATATATATATACTTTTTTTGTTGTTTATTTATAAAGCTTATAACTTTTTTTTGTGGTGAATTAATACTCTGAAAAAACCTTACTCATGCCTCTGAAAAAATTGTCATTGCTCTTCACACATCAAGAATATAGATCCCCCATCAAGAACATAGATCAACCAATTTCTTTGCAAAGAACTTAGCCTTTGATTATTGTGTTGCAAATTGGACTTCTATTACGACAAATTTACTTCTATTACTTATCTTTTAAATTATTACATATCTCTAAAATTTAAGTCAATATTAAAAAAAAAGAATGTTTAAACAATAAAACCTTTTTGTTTTTATTTTACTTGTATTTTCTAATTAACAATAGAAAATGCGGTACGCAAACTTTAGCATTATGACTTTTAAAATAGAGTTTTATTATTATTTTAGTTACTTATTGCATTAGTTACTTTGCATATTTTAAATCTCTCAAATTACACACACACAAAAATAGAACTGCCGATAAAAATCATATATATATATGTATATAAATATATATATATATATATATATATATATATATATATATATATATATATATATATTATATATATATATATATATATATACATATATATATCAGACCTTTGCATGAAGAAAATTGTCCAGTGTAATGTTTCACGCCTGTAAAATTCAAATATTTTTTTGCAAGCGCGGTTATGCTCACTCGTCATTAAATTGTTGAGAGCGATCTTTTGTTTTGGGATATGGGTTTTCCACACAATTTTATTAAGTTTTAATTAGTGATACAGCGTTTTTTAGACAGTAAATATTTTAAAATAATTATTTAGCAGTGTACTACCTGACAAAACATTTAAAATTCTTTCGACTTCCTAAATACTTATCATCTGATCGCATCTGATTGTGTCTTTTTTTCATAACTAGTTCTTAATGATCTTGTTTTAACAAATAAATTTATCTTTTATGTATTTTCTTTGTTGTCTTAATCTTTAACTTATTACTGCAGTCAATTTTTTTTTTATTATTTTATCGAATTTATTAGGAAAAAGTTCATAAGCTTTCATTTTTTTCATTGTTTTATTTGTTTAATTAATATATAAATTCATAATGTTTTCGTATCATTAAAACAGTTAAATAACGATTTCTTTTCGTTAAAACATATTTAATATTTTTTCTTTGCTAACTCTTAAAGAACTTTTATAACTTTTTTAGCAAGCGTTTTCACAAACTTAAACTTTTCTTTTTCTCAAATGAATTTATAATTTTAATTAAGTTATAAATATTAAATTATAGTTTTAAAAATTAAGTTATAATTTTACACTGAAAGCTTTTTAAATTTAGTTAAATTTTTGGCATAGAAATATTTTATTTAAAAAAGAACTTATGAAATTCTATAAAAATTTCTTAAAATTTCTTTTCTATCAACATTGGGTTATTAACTCAAAGAATAATTAAGTTTCAGTATTTTTGGGTTTAATTTAATATTTTTTTCGAAATTAAATAAAAAACTTTTATTATTATACATATGGTTTTACTCTCATAATTTTTTACTCTCGTAACTAAATTAGCAAGCGTTTTTTATTGCGCCCGTAATTTATAAATATTCCATTAACGAGCATGTTTCATGTAACAGGAGTGATCGCTCCCGCTTCATGCCAAGGCCTGATATGTATATTCAAATATATATATATATATATATATATATATATATATATATATATATATATATATATATATATATATATACATATATATATATATATATATATATATATATATATATATATATATATATATATATATATAAATATATATAAATATGTATATATATACATGCATGCACAATATTTAGCTAATACTATTTAAACTTAATTCTAACATTATTTACCAAACATTAACAATATTTATCGAAAGTTAAATGAAAATATTTAAACATTAATTATTTCACATGATTTTTAAGTAAACATGAGTTGTTTACTTTACTTCATGTAATAACTTTGTAATAGATATGCTTAATTGGTCTTTGTAATTTGCTTATTTTCAGGATCGTGCATGGCTTTCAAAGGACTTTGGCACTAAATGGATGCAATTAATGAAAGATAAAGTTTCATCAGTGAAATGGTTATAATTATTTTTAAAACAACCTTTTTTTGCAGTAAGATATTGGTTATCATAAGAATATATTAAATATACTAATAAATTTTATTTAAACTTCCCTAATATAAAATGTCATTAAGATATATTTATGCCTTAATTTAAAATTTATTTTGCTCTCCATAATATAAAATGCTTATTTGCTTTTAACTAAATTACAGTAGTGGTGTAGTGGAAAAGTGGTCATTTTAGTAAATTACAAGATTAGAGTTCGATCCCCACCATGTCCCTGGTATTATTGCCCTCTTTTCTCTTTATTACCCTAATTTTTTAATGTATTTTCCTTATTTAATTATCTATTAGAGTAAAATAGGGTCAAATGGAATAGTTAAGGATTTTAATTATTAATTTTTTAGGGAAAAAAGATTTTTTTTTTTTTTTTTTTTAAAGTTGTAGAGAGTATTGAGCTGTATTTAAATATATAAAATTCTAACAATTTTTTTTGTAAAGTTTTTTATGAATTTTTATTTAAATAAAAAAAAATTCATTCAATTCTACACTGACATTCGGGGAGAATGAAATAGGCAAATATAAGTGTAATTAAAACAACACTTTATTAAAAAAAAAAAAGCAAATAATAATGACAATTAAAAAAACAATCAATAATAACAATTAAAAAAATCAATCAAATAAAGTAAGCTTTTTTATTTTTGTGATGATGTTGAGTTGTTTAGAGGTACTAGAGGTTGAAAAAAACCCAATCAGATAATTTGATGAACGTATCTACCAGAACTGATTCAAATTGTTTTGACAATCTCATGCTTGAGCTACTGCCAATTGTTTCACCTATGCCGTGGACATGCTTGTAAGGAGTTGCTACTGGTATGCTGAATGATTTAGCAGATTTGTTAAGTGAAAATTCAGCGCTTTGTACTTTGGCCACCGCAAATACAACTTGCTTTTCGGTGTATAGTTTTTCTTTTTTTTTTTTGCATGCAAGTTGTTTCGAGGCATATTTTATATTAAAATAGATTTAATAATAATTAATTTGAAATTTGTGCACACAATTTATAGAGATTGCTTGGTCACTTGAGGCTTAATTAATAAAAACCGCAATTAACAAGAGAGTAAATAACGTATTTCATTAATTTTATAAAAGTTTATAAAATCCTTACCCATTTTATAAAAGCAGTAATAAAAATTCATTTAAATTCAGTTAAAAAAATTTGTTCATTAAAATTTATACAAAAAATTTATAGTTGGAGATTTATTGGTCACTTGAGACTATAAAAAAAAGCCACTTTTAAGAAATAAGCTATTGCTTTGTATTTATTTATTAATGTATTTCATTCAACCCCACAACACTCCATTTCTGTTTTAAACTCATAATATTTTTTCCTAAATAGCAAACTTAATTTTGAAAAAAGATTCTTGATCAGCTTTAAAAGTTTTACCATTAAACGTTTTAAGTTCAATGATACCGAATTTAATTTCCAAGAGTTTTAAGTTCCCTTTTTAAACTTTTAAAAAAAATCTTATTACGCATTCGAAAACTTATAAATTTATAACAAAATTTTTTTTATTAAAAATAAAATTTCACACAATCTATCTTACTCAGAAAAATATTCTCTACAATATAATCAAAAAATATTTGCAAAAAAATTATTTAATAGTTAGTTAAAAGCGAAAGAATAAACATTATTATAACTATTTCATTCAATCTGCTATTTTATTTTACTCTGTTTTACTCTATTTCTTACTTTTTTTCAAAAAAAGTCTCCCTTTGCAAACCAATAAAGAGTTCTTCTCTACCCAGAACACTAACATAAGAATAACATTTGTCTATCAAATTAAAAACTTTTAATCATTTTTTTGATCTGATAGTTAGTTAAGATAATATATTATTATATAGTTTTAATTAACTGGCTTAAGTGGAACCATCAAGAAACTTAAGAGTTTTTAATCTGCAGGTCACATACAATCTATACATATTTCCTATTAATTTTTTTTCAACCCATTATACTAATTCTCCTGCTACTATTATCCTACTATTGAGTATTTATATTAGTAATATCGCAACCAATGGCTTATTAAATCTAGGAATTATTATAGCTTTATATTTTCTGCCATCAAATAGAATAGGAATCAAACCATTATTGTTTAGTTCATTTTAGAGTTTTGAGGTCAAATTTTTTCCAATTTTTTTTTAAGCTCGCTTAACTTGTGGTTTTTTGTAAAACAAGTTTTTTCCTTTATGATATGTTTAGCATCAAAAAATGCAACGGTTTACCTTAAACCTGTATTGTGTCATAAGCTTGCTAATGATGTTTTCTTTATATTCACAGTGTTATATAGTTATAGTTTTTTTTTAATTATTTTTATATTTACATGCTCAATTTAAATAGCTCTCAGTAAAGAAGAAATCATTTTAATTCAGATCTTTTTAATAAGAAATCATTTTAGGTCAGGTCAGTTGTATGGTCTTCATGGTCACCCTGCGACTGAAAACATGTAACCCAGTGCAAACCTGTTCCAAGTCCTGCTGCCCAGTGGGATTTCCTTTCTAGTCAAAGGCTTGAAAGGGTTTTGCTTCTTGTCATCAGTACTATTAAACATAGTATCTAGTCCATGGTTTTTACCTACTTGTGCCGCTGCTATATCTAATTGTAATCATTTTTTTCATCTTTTTCAAAAGAACAACTTTCTTGAGAACAAACAGCAGTTTATTGCAAGAAATCAATGTAAAAGAATGCTAAGTGCCATTATTCTCAGTTCACTAAATCTTGTATATTATCTCAGAAGTTAGGTTTTAAACTTTTGGAAAATCTTCAACAGTGTCCTTAACAAGTTTAAATCTAACATTCCATCTCTCATTCATGGGACTGATCTTATTACCTTTCCTGAGAATAAGGCAAAACTATTAGCAAAGAACTTTTCTAATTCAACTCTTGAATCTCATGACCATTCTCCTCCTTTCATTCCAATTAAACAGGTTAACCCATTGTTAGACATTTAAATCACTCTAGCTTCTGTTGCAAAAGTTATATCTCAATTAAACTCTTCTATGGCTTGTGGTCCAGACAACATTCCTATAACAGTCTTACAAAATTGTTCCCCAGACTCTCTTCTCTCTAAACTATTTAATAAATGCTTGACTGAGACTTGTTTTCCTGCTTGCTGTAAAATGGCATCTGTTGTTCCAATTTTCAAAAACTCTGAAGAACATTCTGAACCCTCCAACTATCGTCCAATCAATCTTCTTCCTGTTATTAACACAGTCTTTGAGATATTTCTTAGTCATAGTCTTACAAAATATTTCTCCAGAACTCTTTTCGATTCTCTCTAAATTATTTAAAGTGCTTGACTTTAATAAAATTAAAAAAAAATTGTTATAATATGTAAAAGTTTGTTAAAGTATGAAAGATCAAAGCCTCTTGTTTTCCTGCCTGCTGAAAAATGATATCTGTTATTCCGATTTTGAACTTGTGAAAATTAAATAACAACATGCTCATGTGAACATTCTGACCCCTCCCCTCATTATTGTCTGATCAATCTTTTTTCTGTTATTAACTAGGTCTTTGAGTCTTTGCTAAACAAGTTTTTCACATCCCATCTTTAGTCAAATTTTTTACTGTCAGATAATCAATATCGTTTTCAATCATCTCGCTCTACCGCTGACTTGATAACTGCTGTAACTGAAAGATTTTATCATGTGTTAGATGGCGGCAGAGAGCCTAAAGACTATAGTTCTTGACATATCTAGTTTTTGACAAAGTTTGGCATGTTAGTCTTCTCCATAAGCTTGCTTTATGTTGTATTTGGGAAGTTTTTTGAGATTATTAAAAATTTTTTTTCTAACCATTTTATTAAAGTTATTCTCAATTTCCAGTATCTTCTGGGGTACCTCAAGGTTCTGTCCTTGTTTGTCCTGTTTTGTTTCTTATCTATATTAATGATCTTCCTGACAACCTTACATTTAAAGGAGCTCTTTTTGCTGATGACTTTATACTCCTTGCTTGACAAAAGTCTTCTCTTTCCAATTGCTTAGAACCGACAGCCGATTTTGAATCTGATCTGACTTCTGTAACAGATTGGGGCATGCAGTGGCTTGTAAACTTTTACTCAAAAAAAACTCAGTTATTTACTGCAAACTAATATCACAATACTGTTGACATTCTTATATTGATAAATGGCAACCCTCTCACTGAGTTCTCTTCTTTACGCCTTATTATTTACCACTGACCTTTCAAAATTATATACAATCAATTGCTAAATCAGCGTCTGCTTAGGTTGTTTCTCTTTATTGTGCTTGCCATTTTTTACTCCTGATTCCATTCTCTATCTCTACAAATCTTTTATTTGTCCCTGAATGGAACACTGTGTTAATATTTGGGCTGATTCTTCTAATAATGCTCTTTCTCTTTTTGACAAGGTTCAAAAACACATTGAAAACGTAGTTGGACCATTTGCTCTATCTGCTAAGCTGAGCTGTCCCTTCATGTTTTAAAAACTTTGTCTTGTTTTTTTTCCCACTCTTCTACCCTTTAGAAGTCTCTACCATATTCACATTTTCCTAACGCGTACAACCTACAACTTTTCAAGTCTTTTCTATCAACTTTGCTCTATAACTTAATTCTTTTTTTTTCTATAAACTCCCATTTTAATAGTTAATGTTTGCATCTTTGTTGGAAGTGAATCAGAATTAATAAAAATATTATTTAAATATTTAAAATGTAAAAATGTTTATGTATTTTGAATATTTAAATAATATTTATATAATAAATTTAAATAATGGGTTTCAGAAAAGTAGTTTTCTGAAACTATAAAAAAGCATTGTTTTAATAAAATTACATTATTAAACCTAATTTTAAAAAGGAAAAAAAAAATCATAATTAAGACCTATTTAAAGCAAATTCTTAAACATCAAATAGGGTATATAAAAAAAAAAATTTGTTGTTAATATATATTGTCAGGTAAAAGAATATTTAAAAACTTTATTATTTATTTTAATGTTGTTTGTTTTTAGGATTTTTATGTTTAATATAAAAGTAATATATTTCACAAATTTTTAGGGGTACTGCAGTAGGAAAAGAAGGAGAAGAGATTTATCTTTCTACTTATAATGATAGTATGAGAAAGTATTTTGTTTATGTTGTGTACATGTATATATATATATATATTTATATATATATATATATATATATATATATATATATATATATATATATATATATATATATATATATATATATATATATATATATATATATATATAAATGTATATATATATATAAATGTATATATATACATTTATATATATATATATATATATATATATATATATATATATATATATATATATATATATATATATATATATCTACTATAGTAATAACTTACTTGTTTTGCTTATAAATATAGCATATGGCTTTTTCAGAGTAGTCTATGAAATTTTTTTTTTATTGTATATATATTTATTAATATATATCAGGGGCTATTCTAGACCATTTTCAACTGGAATGACCTTATTTAGAGCTAATTTGAGGACCTTTTTTTTTTGCAAAAAAAAAATGCTAATTTTCGACTGTAAAGCTATGAATGCATGTTTAGATTTTAATATTTCTGATGTCACACTAAAAAGTCTGCTGCAAGGGGCTTTGCTATATAATTTGACTATTTTAAAGCCTGTCGCCACAAAAGAGTGCTGCTACATTGACTGACGGTTTGGCATGAGGCAGCAATCTTTTTTTTTTATTAATCTTAATTTTTTTACTTTTTCTGAAAATGCTCTATGCTATAAAGATAGGAAAAACTAGTTAAATTGAAGAGTGAGACAAAATTTGTAAAAACAAACAAACAATTAAAACAAAAAAAAAGAAAAACTGTAGTTCGTTTTCTGGTTCTACCAAACTTAGGGAGTCTACAAATAAAATTTAACATGCTTGAGTGCTCTGTAATTGGTACAAGTAAATTTGAAAACTTTCCTTTCTTATTTTATTTCTACACTAAAATGCAAGTTATAAAAACAAGTCCCAAAAATTCAAGATGTTTACAAGACACTTGTAGTCATTTACAATTAATGTTAAAATGTCAAAAATCAAGGAAATAAGTTAGCTATAATGCTCTTAGGTCTACCTGCTTAACTCCTCTTTAAGATATCTAACTAACTAACATTATTCTATATAACCTACAAGCCAACTATCATTCTTCTGCATAATTTGTGCCTGACTTCATCTAGAGACAAAAGATTCAAACCTATCAAGTTAAACTTTTCTTGTTCTCTGATTTTGTTATTGTTATCTTCAAAGTTTTGTAGTTCAAATACTGTTTACTCTGATTTGGAGATTTGCAGGTTTCAGTAAGCATTTGATTTCCGAGAGAAGCGTAGTAGAAAAATTTATATCTCTCATTGGCAAATATAAAACTATGTGCGACAGTAAAAACTTTCAGATCAAAAAAGAAATTTTTGATAGCCACAAAAATAGTTTTTTACAATATGACAGAGCAATTGTTTGACATCAATCCAAAAGATTTTGAAAACAAGTTTAGGCACGTCCCGCAATACTTCTGATGCACACAAGAATTTTTCCTTCTTAGACTATTAAAGATATTAGTTGTTTAATTTACTTTTCAAAAATTTAACCAAATGAAATAACATATGTACTTATTTTTATAAAGAAACATTTTTTGTAGGTTGTTTGTTTTTTGTTCAAATTTATGTTACATTAACTGTTTTCAACAACTTCTTTACCAAAACTAACAAAAATAAAATCATATCTGAAAAAACTGGTACAGAGCTTGAAGCAAGCAGAGGAAGATTGAAAGATTGATAGATGCATAAAGAAAGAAGAGTACAAAGATAGAGTGCAGAAGAGAAAAAATTCAATAGTTTGTGGTAATAAAGAGGACATTGGTGAAAAGAGGCTCTTTAACCTTGGCTTGTTCTTTAATGATCAAATGAATAAATTTAACCATCCTAATTTCTCTGACAAGGAACCTACTACACTAAAAAAATAGAATCACAATTTGTTTTATTCATAAAATTATTTATTATATTTTGAAATTATAGATAAGCGAGAATATGAACATTTACCAACAGGGCAAAGACATTTTAGATAAAATAATTCAGTTTTTGAAGTAAATGTGCTAAAAATCTTGGCGTTAATTTAGGTTTTGCATGCTTGATTGTTGATTTAGAGGTTTTTGTCGCAGTTAAAAATGTTCATTTTCATAAATCAAACTTTAAAAGTAGAAATCAGACCAACTGATGACCAGACATCAGACCAGCATGTTTCAGAGTAGAAAAGGATATAAGCAGTCTGATTATAGTAACAACTTCCACCAACCCAGACCAGGGTTGGTCTAACAATTGAAGATATTTCATTGCTATTTTTGTCAATTATCAATTATAAGCGATTTTAGGCAGCTAAAGTAGAGAAATTCAAACTATTCCCTGAGAAAGATTTTTTTAAATAGAAAAAGAGTTTAATTACAAACAAATGTTAATCTATAAAAGGAAAATAAAGTGCATTCAATTCCTATTATTTAAAGAATTACAAGTAGCTCTATCAATGGAGGAAAGCTTAGTTTCGACTTATTTTCTCTGCGCAGCGGCCTTGCTTGTCAAGGTTTGTGTTTCGGAGTTAAAGAGTTGAGAGAGGGTTGTACCACAATTTACGACAAGAAATGAAAAAAACAAAAAAAAATGAGTAGCCTCCTCGACTGTAGTGGCTCCCTCAGGCCTTGGGGAGGTGAATAATTAAAAAAAAAAAAAAAGAAGTTGAAATTTTGTATCAATCTAATTGTGGTAGGACAGAATTAGTAACTGTAATTTTTGATTTTTAAAATTTTCAATTTTTGATCCTATTTTTTGTCACCCAATTATATATGTAATTTAGGTGTATATTTTATATTTTAGATCCAATTTTTTCTTTTTTACATATGATAACATCATCTTCTACAATAAAAGTATGGAAATCAAGTGATAATGGCAGGTCATTTGAAGGTAAATCTTTTAAAGTGACGCTGAAATATATATAATAAAAAAAATAGTTTTATATCCTTTCTAAAATGATTGAAATACATTTCTGATAAATGTGTATCTTTCCAATAATCTTGGAATTTTTTAATTTTAAAAGTCATTTCTATTGACATATAAAAAAATGAATGACTTTCTATGCAATGTTGTATGTTTTTACTACCATCAACAGGTACTTTTAGACTGAAAATATAAATTTACTGTTATTTTTACAAGTGTTTTAAAATTTTATTTTAATTCTTGAACAAATTTTAATTAAGTTTATGTCTTGAAAAATTACTATAAGGTAAAAAAAAATTACATATTTTGATTATTAGTTTTGATCAACAGAAGTTTCTGTGAGGTTTCTACATAATAATTCCCTTAAGATAATCAAATGCTCTTTGGACAAATATTACAACTCTAAAATTCCCTTAAGGGAGTTGTAGTGTTGAAATTGTTGTTCAATTAAAGTAGTTGTCCAGTTGAACATTGTTTTCGAACAGAAAAATTCTTGCAAGAAAACTAAGCAGACTAAGCAGACAGCCCGCTTAGCATGTCAAGTTTATTTTAGAGCGACTATTTATAGTTTATGTCCTCATTTAGTCTGCGGAAGCCTATATATATATATATATATATATATATATATATATATATATATATATATGATCATTTTTACATATGAATACAAACTATAAAAAAAAAATTTAGAAAAAAACATCATTGAGTACTGCTGAAAATTCCAAATAGCACTATTTGACTTGATTATTTTCATTTTAAGTCTAAAATATGTCAAAATGAGGATTTTGTTGGAAAATGAAAAAAGATTTGAATTTGTATATCTACAGGAAATATTTGTTATTTGAGTCTGTTCATTTAATAGGCAACACGTTTTTGACCTTCTTTGGACTTCTCCATTGTATCATTTTGTGTTACTTGTTTATCAACTCCTACCCCGCCCTCTCTTTTATGTGCAGTGCTATTATTGTTAAAAACTGATATCCAAGTAATTTTTTGCTAAAAGTTTACTTCCGCTATAAAAAGAATCGTAATTGATAATTAATATAAATAAAAAAAAAAAAAAAAAAAAATTTTTTTTTTTATGTCACATTCCATGTGATATTTATATTATAGAGGGGTTTACCACAATACAAGTAATAACTGCTTATACAATCCCTTTTTTAAATGACATATATTGCCTGAATTACAGAAGAATTATTTTATTTGGAAAGAATTTATTTTGGGGCTTTTCAAATAATATGTAACAGTCTTATGGACAGGCTAATAAAAAACAGAAAAGCTGATAAAAAAGCGGTTGTTATTTATACTCAGTTAAATCAACAAGTAGTTGCCTTTTATTAAAATTGCCTACAACTTTTGTGTGATTTTCGAACACGTTAAAAACTTTGTTTCATACAGCCTTGTCCAAAAGATGAGAAATTTTTTAATCTGTTCTAAAAAATTTTATGATTATTTAGATTTCTTAATTGCCTTCTCAACTAATTTTACGGTTTACCTTTGTAAGTATTTGGAGGTAATTGGAACACAACTTAATTCCTCTCTCAGCCACGTCATTAGTCACTTATAGAGTTTTGATAAACAGCTTCATTTTCAAATAATAAGCATTGTTGTCCCATTCTAAAAAAGGAATTTTAAGCCATTTTCCATCATCTTTTTAATTATGAAAAATCAACCAAGGCTTTTTCCAATATAAGAAAAAAGATTGGAAATTTTTCTAATCAGTGGAGGAGTTGGTTTACCGCAATTGATACCAAGTGGTTTTCCGTATTCTAGCATTTTTTTTTTGCAATTTTATCTTTATTATTTAGAGAAAGTTTATTTGAATATAAACTTAATACAGACACCTGCTCAGTTAGATACCAAGAGTGTCTGCTTAGATTACAATACTAAGAAATTGCAAATTTCATTTGCT